TACCTGATGGGAAGCAGGATAGCTTTTCTACTGAGACTGTCAGTTACAAGTACTGGGCTTAAAGTATTTGGAGCTTTAAGTACTACGGGAGCAATATTTTTCTAGTATTTCATCATTTTCTCTGTTGCTTTTGGCAATAGCTGAAGTATGGAGAGGCACAAATAAACCAAAAGTATGAAAAAAGTATTTATGCTTTTTTTAGTCCTTCATATATATAATCTCCTGATACAGAACATAAAAACTGAGGTTTAGCACATTAGTTGAGTTTATTTAAGTTTTTGCCTTGGCCAGCTTTTCGATTGTCCAAAGCCTGTTTTGAACCTTTTTAACCTTAGTGCCTGCTCTTGTAGACGCGTTGCTTAGGTCTGTACGAGGGGGAGCGGAGCTCCCATCTGAGTCATTGGACCTGACGCATGTGAGGACCTGGCCAGTGCTCGCGAGTCTCCTGCTGCCTGATGGCCCTCATCCTCCTCTGTCCCCAGGACATCGGTGTCTGGGCTGCACTCCAGCATGACCTCCTCGCCCCCATCCAGATTGCTTTTGAAAAGCTCTGGTTTCAAAACTGTCCTGCGTTCGGTCACTGGTAGCGCAGTCTGCTGTCCCACTGAGATCTCATTTACACCCTTTCCAGGCCTGAGGCAAAGCCCTTTGGGAAGAAGGCAGAAAGGCTTCGCTTGCCTTCTGTGGGCTTTGGTCAAGCCTTTGGGTTGGCCTTGATGGCTGGTCAGTTGGTCCTTTGGATGTAGGAGTCAGTCTGAATAACATTCGCTCTACGTTGTACTGCATCGTCTTTCAGAAGTTGCTTAAGAAAAGATGTCTTGCCCATGAGGTTTGGGTGGTTCATCCTGGAAATTCTGTAGTTAATAAAAATAAAAGAAATTCGTTCAGAAATCGGGTTTCATAAATGAGTGCAAAGCAAACCCCCAAGATAGTGGCTTTGCTGGCTTGGTTTTGAAAGACTAGATTTCAGCTAGTTTGAAAAAGCACTGTCAAAATTACTCCTACCTTAAATAGCTCCAGTGACTTTTTTATTTTGATTGGACATTTGCTCCTTTTCCACCTCTGGTTATTTTTATTTTAAGTCAGTTATGGATCCAGTGTGTAATTTAAAAAATGGTGCAAGTTCCAAGCATAAACCAAACTGTGCCTGAGCAGAGTCCTTGTCTTGGGGTGAGCACACACCTCGTTCATGAGCACGGCCTGTGTGAACATGAAACTTTTCATCAGTTGCCTCTTCAGCAACTGCCTTAAAAATGGTGCACAGGAGTGGAAAAGCAAAGATACTATCAAGCTACATATCCTAAAATGTATCCTGAGAGCTGTGTTCAGTATAGAAGATCTGTTTGGCTATTTAAAATCAGTTTAAGACTTTCTAGTCCCTGAGGATCTTCTTTAGGATTGCAGAGTTGGTTACTGTGCAAACTGCCAATTTTTTAATTTTTTTTTTTTAATACGTGAGATGTAAGTAAGTTGGAATGAGCTAATTTAGCCAATGGAATTTTATAACAAATGTACGAATGTTGTGGGTTTCCCTCCCTCACCCCCTCCAGCAGAAACATAATTTGCAGAAATGAAAACAGTCCCTGGCTGGCTTTAGGGTTTTCTCAAAAATAGAAACAGTAGGGTTTGTCTGGCTGGGCCAGTTTCCTCACCACACACCTGGTGTATATCACTTCAAAAAATACATTATGCCTCATTAAATTACAATTAAATGAAATCATGATCATTTGTTTTTCTGGAAGGAAGATGTTTTGCATATTGAAAGCCTAATTTGTTGCAGGTGACAAAAAGGCTGAACAGATTATTTAATATCACTTTATTTTTTATAATGTTGCTCACTGGTTAGTTTGTGTATACTTCAGTAGCTCAGAATTATATTATTGTAAACGTTACTGCTCTCAAGATACTTTATTTTATTGTCCTACCCTATCACTCAGCTATCTAGCCGCTGTTCTTTACCAGCGTTGTTTATCTTCAGTTGCAGGAGGACATGAGATTTTTCCCTCTGAGTCAGTTTTCTTATTATCTGTCCTGCTGTTTACATGGTCCTAAGCTGCCAAAGCACTTGGAGGAGCAGCAGGAAAAACTCTCTTTGCAACCAGGTTTTCTACCTGCGGGCCTGGAGCGGGGCATGGGGGAGCAGGGCTCAGCCCCTGCGAGGGGCTGCCTGTGTCGCGGCGCTGGGCGAAGGAGCTAGTCCCTCTCCCTGGAGCAGGTGCCTGCATTAGGAGGTGGCTGTACAGCCTGGTGATCGAGCAGCGATGCAAAATATTGCTATGTCCCTGTAGCAGAAATGAGACCCTCATAGAAGCAAGAGGCGCAGGCTAGGGTTCAAAACCACTGGATGTACCCCATGATAAGCTGTTTTTGGTGATGAATCAGAGCCTCCAGGCACAAGAGTTGGTATCTCAGGCAGTGAGATACCTCTTAGTGCCATGTCCAAGCCACTTGTACCTGTGAGCCTCTGATTTACATAGGGAGTCAATGACTGCACTGAAAAGTAATTGCTGGCATGCTTTCACATATGTTTCTGCTCTCCATTTTTGAAATTGGACCATAAATTTAGCCAGACTAAGATGGGAGGGAGAAAAAGCTGTCTGGAGTCAGCTCCAGTAGCTTTCAGGTACCTTTCTTTCAACCTAAACTCATTAATTTTTGAAGTTGATCTTCTCTTTTAAAAAAAGAAGGTATGTATCCTTTAAAAGACTCAGGAAATTAAGAATTTAGAGAATCTGTGGAACTGGTATTTCATTTATTTTCTGCATTTGGAGAATTTTCCACTGACTTTAAGGGAAAATTGTAGTAGGGACTTGCTGTATTGATCTTGGAATTGTTCAAGTCATGGCTTCAGGCTTCTGTAATGTCCTTTTTTGGTTAATCTCCCTTAGCCTGTGAGCCTGGCAAACTCTGGAAAGCTTTTCAAAATGTCCCTAGCTTCTCTGAGGGGTGGTAAACCCTGAGGAAGAAGCCAAGTACGAGCATGCAGTTGTGTTGAGGTCACAGATTACCAGAGGCCAGGCCAGGGCCAGCCCAGCACTGCCCCTTCTTCAGACTTTTTCCCAGTGTAGACCTTTTTCACCAGCCAGCTTCTCTCTCCGATCCCATTTCTGACTGGAAGGTCCCACCATGGCTCCATTTCCACCTCCAGTCCTTCTGGTAACTACTCTCATAATTGCAGGAAAATGTAACTGGGAATCTCTTAGCTTGATTATGTAGATGAGGAGCTGAAAAGATGGAGCTGTGTGCAACCTACCTTCAGCTTGCGTGTTGAGCTTGTTTTGAGCACTTCTGGCGTGAACAGTGCTGAAGTAGAGCTTTCATGTATGTGTTTTAATGTAGATGTTCAATAGCAGATAGCAGATAAATGCAGATACAGATACATCATTTGCTGGTCTGTTGGTTTTGTCAGGAAGTCTGGTAAATAAGATCAACATATACTAAAAATGTTGGCATTTGGTTAATTGGCCAACTTGTAGTGCAGTGTTTTAGCAAGGCTTTTTGGAGGAGACTCTCTGATACGGAAGAAAATAAACTAAGACTAAATATTACAGTTTTGACTACATAGTTGTTTTCTACAACATTTTTCTTACAAGAAAGGAGTAAGCCTTGACTACACTCGTGAGGCAGCTTGCCTCGGTTGTAGCTGTAAAGTAACTGCAAAATGCTCATGTCAACAGCGACAGCTAAATCGTGGCTGGGGCACTGTGGTGTCTCTTTGCACATGGTTGCTGAACGTTGCTCCTCTCACAGCAGTAGGTTGAAGTGAGCCCTCCGAGCTCCGACTGGGATTTCACATGGCTTCTGTGGCCAGCGCTCCTGGGAGCAGTGCTGCAGAGAGCCTCTGGGTCATGGCAGGCGGGAAGCAGGAGTGGTATTGCACTGCTCAGGGAAACACTGGCAGGATAGCCTTTTAAAATAACGAGCCCCGGACCGCCATCTCTTATGATATAAGTAGTCTTGATGGGCAGAAATAATCCCTCTCTGCTTCTTTGCACACCAGTACATTTAAACATCTGTAGTTCAGGAAATTGCTGTTACTGCTTTTTGGAGTGAAATACCCATTTGTGAAGTGTCGGATGTGAGGGGGTGCCTAGGGGAAGCTGGTGGCACACGCTGTGTCCTGGTAGTTTCTGTAGGCCATGATCCAGGCTTGTGTGTTGTGCCTTTAACTTTTAGATAATCTGTGGAACTGTTGAGTGCGTACAGTTATGCATAAATTTAATCCCATCATTAGATTTGAGGCTCTTCTAATAACATTTTCACCTTTCCAACTCTTCCCCCCCCCATTTTTTTGGAAGTGCTATGCTGGTTACCTCCTGGAATAATGGCTTTTGTAAAAACTAGATGAATATGGTGTTCATTCATTCTTGCAATGTGAAGCCTGTGGTATTTTAAAAGGAGGCATGAAAGAATGAGTTAAATCCCTAAAGCTAGATTCTAAGGCTTTATTATTGCTCCATTTTTCTCCTCTCAGAAATGACTGTCCAAACCAAAATGAACGGACTGTAACATCAAAAACCAGCCAAATGTTTTTCTTTATAAACCTCCTGCACTGTTTAAATGTCGAAACTAAATTTACCAACCTTGGCAGATTTGTCAAAGATGAGCAGGATTGCCAAGTGTTCCCAGCTTCAAGTAAAAAGAGAGAGAGAGAGAGAGAGAGATCTAACAGCTCCTAAAATATTTGCAGCAAGCACCTGGTGGTAACTGCAATTTCTTCTACCCAATGCACCTACCTTCCTATCCAGCATCTCCATACTCAGAAGCTTATTACAGTGCCAGAATAGGACAGTCCCAAAATAAACCCCAGCCCCCAGAAGATAAACATTTTCCTACAAAATATCCCCTCTGGGAGAGCCCGTGAGATTCTGCTGCAGGTTCTCAGTATTGCAACCCAGCTGGTTACACTAAACAAATTATAAAAAAAAAAACAAAAAATCAACACTTGACTGGGCTTTTTTTTTTATTTTATTTTTTATTTTTTAAATTTTTTGAACCAGGGCTTGTTGTCAGAGATCCTGCGTAAAGAAGAAGACCCTAGGACAGCTTCCCAGTCCCTCCTGGTAAACTTGAGGGCAATGCAGAATTTCCTCAACTTGCCTGACTCGGAGCGGGATCGTATCTATCAGGACGAGAGAGAGAGAAGTATGAACCCCAATGTGAGCATGGTGTCTTCAGCTGCCAGCAGCCCAAGCTCCTCCAGAACCCCACAGGTAAGATGCGATCCCTCGTTACCTGTTTATTGTGTGGGTTAGTCCAGGGAAGGAGCTCCTCTCCACCCTTCCCCTGTCTGTTGCTCCCCTCGCCCAGATGAGTTGTGGAAATCCTTTTGCAAGGTTTTGGAGTGGCTGTTTAGAGACATTTAGTGGATTTCAGCAAGACGTTGTGATGATGATTCTAACTTTAATCAATGCCATAAATGCCAGAAAATATGTAACGTTAGTGCCTGAAAGAGCGTGTGGGCATTACATACAGGCTGTTGATACATGTCTTCTAAATGGCTATTACAGAATACGTTATAGAAAGCCAGTGCACATAACTTTTTATCTGTGTCCATTACATTCTGCAGAACACAGAGGAAATTTCTGGGCTTCTGGAGAGGTTCATGTATGTTGCATTAAAAAGTGTGTAGTGAACAGAGGTCGACAGTGAATTAAATAGACATTGCTAGAAATCAGTGCGCTCCGTATTCTGCATAGGAAATCACAGTCCTTGAGTTAGAGGTTTACAGGAGTAACTATTTGAAGTACAGAAAGTAGAGATGGGCAGGGTGCTGGGAAGGAAGATGATGCTTTAAAGTTCCAAACCAGCTGTCATCTCATTGACTTAACTGTACGTGTTTATTAACGTGCTGTTGCCGCCCACTTCCCCGGGTAGGTTGTTCTTTTGCACTAAGAAAGAACATCCACATACTACACCGCAATAGTCATTCCCCCTTTTATCAGACTGCTTGCAGTCCCAGGTGTATACTCTGAAAAGGTGAGGGTTCTTGCACAGAGGTGATGATTAACTCCTGTCATGACATTTGCCTAACTTGAGTTTGAAATTTCTAACTGTGCAGACATGATGGGTCAGTTCTAGCACTTCTCTTGATCTTTAGTAAATGGGCCTGTATAACCCTCCTGCTTCGGTGCTTTCATGGTCATGTAGTCTGCAAAGTCTCGGGCTGTGTTAGCCCTGCTTATAATAGTATTACTGAGCACTTCTCATATTGAATTCTGTGGCCACAGCTGCTAAAAATAAGTAAACATTGGGGGGGGTAGTTTTACATGCAAACTGATCATCCTTAAGGAAGGTATGTTGATTTTGTAGAAACCTGAGCTTGTTTGGTTTAACCCTGGCGTTTGGGTGCACTTCACCACAACACATGATGTAAAGAACTGTTTTCACTAAAAGCGAGCGTATCCTGCCAACCCAAATTTGACACTGAATTTTTATTACATGGGAAACTCATTGTATAACTCTTATCTTTTTTAGTTACCTTTCAGTGAAAATAAAATTATAAAGGGAACTATTTTAATGTTTAAGTAGTGTATCCACTTTCTGCATTTATATTTATAATGCCATAGATTCCACAACTAAAATCGAATAACAGAAGGAAATGGAGAGGTTAGATGCAATCCAGTGAGAATAAAAATTGGATCTGTTGCCCCATCTCATTCCTCTGTTGAAATACGACATTTTTCCCATGTTCTAGCCACAGCTAGAACATTATTTAAAATAATGGAAATTTTGCCTGCCTTTTTAAGAGCTAAGCATTGCTAGAAAACCATACTCTAGAAGTATAAAGCATCCTTGCCTTATTTCAGCTTGAAGAATCCAGTAGAATAAGAATAAGAACCTCCAGTGAGGTTTTTAATCAGCAAAAGCAACACACAAAGGTTTGTGTACCCAGTGCTCGCCTTGTGCCCGCTGGATAACATTTCCCCAGCCCTCAGAGGGCCAGCACCAGTCAGCACAGGTGCTGTTTTGACAACTTGGACACCTCTGCAAATGAGGCTGCTTCCCAGCTCTCGGGCAGGCAGCATGGCTACTGCGCTTCCCCATATGCCCGGTATTAGTTCTGACGAGACAAATGCCATCCTCGCATGCAGCGCAGCGATTCCCGGCAGCATCGCCTCCCCAAGCAGGTATGTTACCCTGGAGCAGGGTGCTTTGGGGCAGCAGCGATAGGAGCTATACCGTCCTTTCAGGAATTGTGTTAGGGTGCCGGAGAAGTCGATGGAATGGCATTTGGAAACGTGGTTTCCATAGATACCAGTCTCCTGCAGCAATACTTCCAGGAATGATGCTTGAGTGTGCTGGGCAGGAGGAGAGCACTGGCAGATAGCTGTGGAAGTGCTGGTGCTGAGGCAGTTGCGCAGGCTGTCCCAAACTCTGAGCCAGCCCCTCGCCCACCTCGCAGGGTGGCCCCTGCTCAGGACCTGCCCCAAGGTGAGAAAGGCAGGTTGATCCGGCAAACGGGTGCGAGTGCTGTGGGGAAGAGGCTCTGAGCTGTTAGGGGTTACTGTGTGCACGTGGAAGACCAGCAGCAACGGCTGGGTTTCAGCACTCTGGCACTGTGGTTGCAAGCGCTTCTTTTTCTTTTTTCCCCACTGTTTGCAATGATACATTTCAGTAATGGCAAACTCCTTCTTAATATCAAGACCAGTTTTGAATCTAGGCCTCTGACATAAAATACTTTATTTTAATGACTGTGATATTTTGGTTTGGTACTTGCCCTACCTGTTTCAGTGATTAAATAAAAAATGGCCCAGCTTCCAGGGTGTGTAGGGCAGGCTTTTTTCTGATGTGTGGCTGTGGAGCTAGCAGTGTAGGAGACCCATGCAGGACAGAGCTGTATTTTAAATGTTTCTTTTACGTGCTAATTTTGCTCTTCCCAGGATCTCAGGCCTCCATAACGGCCTTTGAGGCTGTGGTGACCTCGGCTGCTGCGCTAGCCAAAGGCTCCAGTGACTGGGAAGGCTTTTTTTATACCCGTCAAAGCACTGCAGGGCCTTCAGTAAAATTAAGCTCCATTAAATGAGTCCTGACAGACTTGGACAGTCCTCTTCCTTCCCATGATCTCTTTGTTGTTTTCTTATGTTTCCCACAATTGCCCTAACTCTCATCTATCTGTGAACACTGAATTTCAGAGCGTGGCGTCCCTGTCGGTCCATCCGTGGGGCTGTACTCTGCATGTGTTCATGGCCTGTGGGTGGCGGTGGGTTTAGCACTGGCCTCCTGGGGCCCGGGCGGCTGCGGTCTGCCCCAGCTGCCATCCAGCTGCCCCTGCCTGAACGTGGAGGGCTAGCCTTAGCAGGAGCAGGGAAGTCTTAGGCCCTTTCTACGTGGGTCCTGCCTACGACAAGCAGAGAGGAGTGCCTGCTGAGCTTGGGGGTTAGGAAAGGGAGAAGATACAGGTTGGCTAAAGCTTTTATTTGGAAGCGGTAGGAAGAGTGATTAGTCTAGATTGTTGGCTTGATTGGATTTTGGCTCCATTATTAATGTGGCCTTTGGTACAAAAAGACGTTAGGGAGAGGAAGATTTGGGGGACAGCAAAACAGAAGGAGAAGTTCAGAAGGTTTGGTTTTGCCTAGTTAACCTTCCCATTAACAAATAGGCACTTGGGCATGTCTGCGTGGTTAAAAATTAACATTAGATGTACTCTAGCAGGCTTCAACTCTGGCACAAAAACAGGAGCCAGCTGAAAAGGTTTATAATTGGGACAAATATCTGAATGTCACCAGGGTTTATGGGAGGTTTGGATCTATCTGGAAGTGTGAGCTTTGCCACCTAGGTTGTTTTATTTCCTAAGACCTTTACATCTCAAAAGAAAACAGAGATTTTATATCAGTAACCTACATATTCCCCTTAAAATGTGTAAGGGGTACAGTGATTCACTCTGGTATCTCTCCTCTGAGCTCAGGAAAGCAAACGAGATCTGTCTCTCCAAGGGGCTGCTGGTGCCGGGAGCGCTCAGTGAGCATCGCACTGCCCTCGCTCCCTTGTCTGCCAGTGCGTTCTGGGGACCGTCACGGCCGAGGGGC